GTGCCTTTATCACACTCATACCACCTCACTCAGCTCACGCAGGTTAGCTGAATACACAGGGAAGTAACTTCCTCTGGGGCAGGCTCCTTCTGGGGCAGGGAGAAACCATGGTGGCTGAGATGCCAGTCCTTCCCAGGCAGGAGTGTGGCAGCATGCTACTTTTTGCTATGGGCCCTGCTGGATTCTTAAGCTTGCCATTAAATCTTAACACTGTGCTTTTCCTTTTAATTTTTGTTACATGATATTGCTGGGCTTTTCCTCTAATAAGTTCATGGAACTTCCTGTGGGGCTTTTGGACCACATCCTGCTGCCTCCTGTATTTAGATTAAGCTGATTAGTTTCAGTTCAGGTTAACATGTGTAACATGGAATGGGGGGAGCCTCTAAACCTTCTGAATTGCACCGTTGTTCCTGAGCAGTATTAAGTGTTGTAGCCAGCCATTGATCACTCCTAATTCTTAAATTATGAATTGTTAACAAGACTGCAGAAGAAACAATACAAATGAAAAGTGGATTTCATCATTAAAGCAATTTTACCTTCATTTCTGAAGAAAATAAAAGCTGATTTTCTAGAAGAGAAAATAATTATTGATCTTGATAATTAACCTGAAATTATAAATTTACATCTATTGTTATCACAAAGAACAAAAACCAGTCAAGGTTTGCTCTTCTCCCTCTGTTAAATTTTAAACACAAGAAAATAAAACATCATGGGCCTACTGATCTGAAGTAGCAATTTAGTCTTTGAGCAGTCTCCATGGTATCAGTGGTGTTTCTTTTCCTGGAAGGGTACTACTCGATATGTATAAAAGTATCAGACTTCAGCTATAGATGACTTGATACACTTGAAATCATTTACATCATGCTGAATTCCCTTTGGCCATATAAAAGAATAGGTCCCAGCATATTCCTTAGATGCTTTGTATGAATAAGCACACTGCAGAAGTAGCAACCTTCTTGCGGAGCGTCATTTAACTTCTGTATTTCTTTGTCCTGGGTTCAGCAGTAGCAGTCATGTTTCTCCTTTGTGGTAGCTGGTGCAGTGCTGTGTTTTGACTTCCAGCCTGGGAACGGTGTTGGTGAAGCCGATGTTTTCGGTTGTTGCTAAGTGATGTTTACCCTGACCAAGGACTTTGTGAGGCTCATGCTCTGCCAGGGAGGAGGGAAAGCTGTGAGGAAGCAGAGATAGGGCGCCTGACCCGGGCTAGCCGGGGAGGTATTCCATACCACAGCACGTCATGCCCGGGGTGGGGGGTAACTGGGAGTTACCCGTAAGGACACGGGCTTCCAGGTGGGACTCATTTCTCAGCTGGTGGTATTGTATTCTTTTCCCTTGTTATTTTCTCTTATCATTGTTGTCGTTGGTGGTAGCGGTGGTGCTTTGTGTTGTACATTGGTTGCTGGACTGTTCTTGTCTCAACCCGTAGGAGTTGCACTCCTTTGATCCTCCTCCCCGTACCTCCAGGAGCGGGGAAGCAGAGAGCCCCGGTGGGGGGGGAGGGGGGGCTCAATTGTTCTCAGCCCGGCACCACTCACTGGGAGTGAGTGAACAAGTTGCCTGACTGGGTTTAAACCACGACATTTTAAATTTCCTTCTTTAGTGATAAAGGATTCCTTAAGATCACAGTGCTAATTTCAGTGTTTGCAACTGGAGGGAAGACATCCCAGCAAACAGATACTGCCATCCCTTTACATACACATTCACTTGCGCAGAGGTCACATTCATCACAGTGGGTGTTTCTGCACTTCTGCCATAAACCACAGCCCGTGGAAAAGAGGAGATTCAGACGGTGGGTTAGTAGCAATGTGTGAGCCTGGAGTAGGTCTAGAGTAAAACCATACTTGGCTGCTCTGATAGAGAAAGCTGGAAGAGAAAAAATAAAATTTTGGGAAAAGATAAGGGGAGCTTATAATAGACCTGCAGGATGGGAGGTGAGGGCAGAGCACCCAGTGTTTTGGCAGGCTTGTAAAGAGCCTCACACAGTCATCATGGGAGGGTTTTAATGACTCTGCTATTGACTGGAATAAGAATTACAGAATGACTGGGGAAGGATGAATGGTCCTGCTGGTTATTTCAGGACTGTTTTCTCACTGCTTTTTCTGAAGTAGTCAATAAGATCAGAAGCTATAGTGGCTGGAAGTGAACACTGAGTGACAAAAGATAAAGCCTTCATCTGAGGGAAAATGGTCATTATACTGTTAGAGTTGTTTGAGGTACTTACAAGGAAATATTTAAAGGCAGCAACACAGAAATATTGGATTTTTAAAAGGTAGATGTGAGGGAATGTGAAAAGGCTGGGATGAAAGTGGTTGAAAGAGCTATTGTCCAAAAATTCCACGGAGGAGCAGTCAGATCTAGGGCCTGTGAAGAGGAATCTCTTCATTGCAGAAGTCTTTTTACAGTTAGTGGTGGCAAAGGAAGCCACCATTGTTGAGGAAGAAAATTAATGTTTAACCAGGTGCCAGGTTAGAAGGTGAAAATTGAGTGAAGAGGGTGAGGGAGGATAATTCACCATGGAGTATCATCAGGAATACTGCTAGTGGTCCTTGTCCATTCTCACAGAATAGCAGGAATTTCAGCTGCATGGATCTTCCAGCAAATATGGAAGCTCTGGAAGATCTGCAAGATGCCTGGATCACTAGTGCTAACCTGCTGCTCCCTGTGCCGCTGTTCACTTTGAGGATTTCAACAGCCACCAGCTACCCCAAAACACTGAATGGAGATCTTGTAGTCTGCAAAGCACAGCTTTGGACTTTGCTAACTTTCCAGCACATTCCATACTTGCCTGCCCCCCCCTGCCTGCCTTTTCCAGCTGTCCCAACATAGACCTCTTGGACCACCTGTTTTCTTTACACAAGGAGAGGGGTGAGAAAGAACACCTCCTTCAGCAAGAGTGCTGTCCCTAATGTGCTGTGCTACATCCTGCTTTGCCATGCTGCACAGGAAGGAAGAAGAATATAGCTGAACATTTCTTAATGTGCAAAAGAAATGAGGCAAAATAGATAACGTGCCTTTTATTAAAATAAGCAGTGGTAAAAAAAGCAAAGTGAAAATCAAGCTTCCAGATCTGAATAAGGACAGAGTTCCTTTTTATGCAAGACTTTCATTTACAGTAAGTTAATAAATGAGAAAGACATGCCTAATGTTTTTATAACAAGACTAGCATGTGTTTATAGACCGTTATAAGATGATCTGGAAAAAGTGTTACAGATGGTTACCTGCTGAGGTTACGATCAAGCTGTATGGCTCCCAATAGCTGATAAATCTTTAAACCTCTGTTCTTTTTCTGAATCCTTTACAAACCCTGTGCAGAATCTTCACATGAAATAATGCTGAATATTGAGTGAGGTACAGATGTGCCACTTCCTGCTGGTTCTTGGGTGTTGTGGGCTGCTGTGCCCCTGGTTCCTAACCAACTGGAGCTGCTGCTTCAGGCAGGCTGAGAATGGGGCGATTTTTACTTTGCAGTAACAGCATGGGGATTTGGAATACTGGCGGGGGAAGGGGACAGGAGTAAGCTATTCTGATTCATTAGCCAAAATGCCATATTTGCAGCTTACACCTTGAGAGGCTATCAGCATGCTTGAGGACTGATTGTGTGAATCTGGGCACACTATGACTTCTACACCACTGTGCCTGCTAGCAGTTTTCTGACAAACGGAGAAAATATGCAAAAAGGTTTACATGGATAAAACTCACTTTCTAATTATCTCTCCTCAGAAGTCTAGCACCCAAAGGAGTAGGAAGAGGGAAGGAGATTTCATCTCTTCCTTTTTTAGGATCAAAACACTTCATGCTGGTTTCACTAACTTCCAGCAGCATGTGTCCTGTTTTGTCTTCCTCAGTGGTGTGTCTACATCAGGTCCCATGTTCTCCTCAGGGCTGTGCCCATGTTTTATTAAAGCCATGAACTATTCTCCAGTCCTGAGGCTTCAGCTGTCTCTAATCGAGCCCAGCTCTGATACAATGCAGCTGTAACCTGGAATCAGGTTGCTGGGGCACAGCTGTGTGAGACCCAGCTGGGACATGCCTCAGTGAAGGTTCCAGAGCTGCATCTGAGACACATTGTTGCCTGTGTTCAGCCTTACATTTTGCTGATCATAACTTTATCTTCCTAAGTTAACTTCCTGGCTTGATCTCAGACCTCCCTGCAGGCTGCTGGGCCTGCTCTACTTCACTCTGCTCCCTTTGGTACTGTGGGACTGTTTCCCGTACTTGCCTTGTTGTGGATTGTGACTCATCTCTCCTTGCTGAGCAGCCCGCTCATGATACTCTTGGAGATGATCCAGGTAGGAAAAACCTGTCTGAGAGTCCATCTTTATTCACCTTGATAATTTTGAGTGTTTTCTTTGGTTTGTGGTAAGATAGTGGGAAACAGTATATTGAGTTTGTGTGGCAAGGGTTTGGCAGATGGGAGGCTGCAAGAGTGGTTTCTGTCGGAAGCTCCTAAAAGCTTTTCTGGGTCTGATAGAATCAATGCTAGCCAGCTCCAGGACAGGAAATGGTGAGTGATCTCTCCGTGTCTTATCTCAACCCATAAGCCTTTTGTTATATTTTTTCTCCCCTGCCCAGCTGAGGTAGGGGAGTGATGGAGCAGCTCTGGGAGGCACCTGGTGTCCAGCCAGAGTCAGCCCACAACAAATGGACAAGGCTGCCACTGTTTTTTCTTGATTGTATTTTGAGGTGCTTTTGTGGTATGGGATTACTTTTCTTCCTGTTTGCATCTTCAGTTATCCTCTTTTTAAAAGGTATGCTAGTTGCAGTCTTTTTTGTCTCTAATTGCTCTGAATTCCTAAAAGAAAAGGACTGAGATGTTTTTGAGACGGTTTTGTAGAACACAGCCTATTTGCACCAGCAGAGAGTGCCACCATTTGCCAAGCAATTAGCTGTTCTCTAAGCACCTCTGCTCTCCAGAAGAAAACTTGGGAGTCTGCACTTCACTCCTCTTGGGTAGGAGATGTTTCTCCCTTGGTCCTACATTGGTTAATAGCAGCTGTGTACAGTGAGTTGCAATGAAGGTAACTGGATGTGTAACATTGCTCCAAATTCTTGCTCCTCTGGCTCGATCCCACTCTGTGTGCATTGGTGTTCCTCAGCTGATGCTGGATGCCAGTTCAGTGCAGTGTTTTCCAGGCTCTACCCAAGAGAAAATTATCAGCTGCCCCTGGGAGCTGTGGCAAAGCACAGTGAGCTACAGCAGTGTATCCTGAAGAGGCTCAGCCCCACCTGGAGGCATTTACAATGGTGATAAGAAAGAAGAGAAAAGCAGAGGCAGTTTTGCAGCATCTTTTTCACAGCAGGCAATATGTACATAATGAGGAGGGACTACTGGTGGATGGAGTGGCAATTCCATCTGTTCTTGGCCTTCATCCTCTGCCCTAGTAAGTCTGCAGTGTGTCTCATGTGGGCCATAGGTTTCTGCTTGCTGCCTCCCCTCATCTGCCATTCTCTGCAGTCTCGACAGCTTTCTTTTGGGAAGGTTCAGAGAAAGGGCTGTATTCTGTGGCTCGTATTACATGGAAACAAGTTAAGCACCATTCTTAGTTACAGATGCTGTTTTGGAAAGCAACCTAATTGTTAAACAGATATTCAGGAAAGAGATCTCTTCAAATCAGCTTATGTGATGTAGACTCAAGAGTGATGGTAGGCAGGTAGCTAATCCTTGGACTGGGGAAGTTGTGTGGTTTTTTTTTTTTGTTACTGTGGTTTTCTTCTAATATATAGCAGACACAGTTGTTTTAATCTGTAAAATGAAACTTCAGCAAAGTAAATCTGTATAAAATGCAGGCTATTTTTATGTAGCCCTTCCTTTGGGTGTTTCTTTGTTCATTATTGTTTATGATATGGAGTGGAAACCGAGTGCTTTCATACAAATAATGGTCTCTTAACCCCCATAATCTCATATAGTAAATTTCTTCTTGTCTCCAGATATTTCCTTGAGACCAATTCTAGGTTTAATATGCCAAAGACTTTAAAAATAATAATAGTTGACAAGTGCATCTTCTGCAAACTCAGGATAGCAGGGAACATTTATTTGAATGTAGCATTTTCATACACATACCATAGGAGTATATAAAAGCATGTTTTTTTTTTAATGAAGAACAATGTAAACAGGAAAGGCTGCAAAACTTGCAAGTGGCAGAAGTCAGTGTGGCTTCCTGGAAATCAGCTAGCACAATCCAGCTCTCATTTTCCACCTATGTGGGCTCAGAGATGGACAACAGGGTTTGAAAATCTCACTTGAAAACCCGTTCTCTGTTTCACTGCTGTGTCATCACAGGATATGAGCCTCTGTCCCAGTGTGGGATGTGAACTGGCTTGTGAACAGAGATGCTTCCCAAAAGAATCTGGACAAAATTGCAGGCCATGATCTAATGCAAGAAAGAGGGCAGGCACTGAAAGGCCAGTGTGATGACAGATGATATTTCACTCTGCTTAGAGTTCTGCAGCTGTTTGTGTTGCCGGAGGTGATGGGGGAAGGACAAATCCTAGCAGTAGTATATCATGAGATCATGTCAATATGTCATGTGGAAGTATTTGCTTATGGGGGTGTCCACCTGGCACCTAGTGATGCTTGCAGGAATGCTCTGCAGCCCTGGGGAATCAATGGCTTTATGCTCTCCTAAGCCACAGGTACTGTAGTGGGGATTTATGGGGAGGCAGGGAAGCCAAAATAGGCTAAAAGCCCTTTTCCTCTTTCCTTGACCATTGCTAAAAACAATTCCCATGCCACATGGTGGAGGAGACACCTTGCAGCCCTTTACTGTGACTGTAGCTGTATGGTGTAAGAGGTGTAAGGCACGCAGAGCTGGCCGAGAGCAGGCGTAATAGGGGACTTTCTCCAGGAGCTGACATGAACATAGTGCCCCGGGTTTACCTGTAAACAACCAGCATTCTTATTTCAGATAGGCAGGAAACAAGCATTGTTTCCTGCATGCCGTGACTTTATAAAATGGTCCAAGGTTTAGGAAGGCATGATAAAGATGGGGCCAGGAAAGAGGGCCTCTTAAGGCTTTGTAGAAGCACATGCTTCAGCTTGCTCTGCGTCCCATCAAAGTCTCTGCAGATTTGTCCCAAACCTTCTGGTGCTTTAGAAGAAACTGGTGCCATTGTGCCTTTAGGGCCAGGGATCCATGCCACCTTACAGCCCCTGGGTCTGCCCCCAGCATGGTGCATAGGGGATTCATAGGATTGCTCATGGAAGAGGATTGTTAGTGGAAGAAGGTTGTGCGGACAGTGTCTCTGTTGCAGTTTTAAGTGCCACTTGCTGGACACAATTCCTTAGCATAGAACAGGTAACTGCATTTGGATGAGGCTGCACAAGAGATTCTTTTGGTAATTATCAGTGTCTGTCTTAGCTTTTAAAATCTGATGCTTGTCATATTTCTCAAAACAAATGGCATCTTCTTTGGACAGATTAATTAAGGGGGAAGGCATAAGTTGGTGTGGTAAATCACTCTTACAAGAATGTGACTTTCCTGAATTACACCTTAGTAAAATATATATATATACACATTATATATATATATATATGCTGCTCTGACTTACACAGCTTTTGTCATTATCATAATTGAAAATGAAGAAGACATTAACCCTTAAATACCCTCAGAAGTTAATAGGCAAAGAGAACACAAATTATTCTGAATTTCCCTGCTTCCTACTATGCACATTTTTGGTCCTTCATCCTTTGAATGAAAATAGACTGGAAAACACACTACAACAAACAAAATGTATTGTGAATTACTGGTGTGTGTGGGTGTGTGGGTGTAATCCTGTAAGTGGTTGAAGACCTAAATCTGCTCAAGTGTTTTTACCGAGTAACTCTAAAACTGTGCGATCTGTGGAAGGGAAGCTCTGGAGGCTTCTCTTGAGATTCTTGGTTTATTCTTAGTGTTCAGCACAATGCTCACATAAACGTCATAGTTTTCTTAGTGCTTATGGTTTTGTCATATACCACCAACATTTTAGTATAGGAGAAACAAGTATCTCTACATTTGAAGGTGGGTTCCCCTCTTTTATTGGTGTAGTTGTATTTGATTGCTGAGGTACAAGAGCTAGGGAATGCCCCTGACCAGGGGGCAAAATGAAGTTAGCCAACAGAGAGTAAAGTGGTGTGTGAAATACAAAGAGCTCAGACTGGCACAAGGAGTACAGGGGTTCAGCTGCTGGTATGGTCACCCACCCACCTGTCTAGTAAAGACATCTGCATATCTCATGTTGTCAGGCAGGAACTGAAAGGCACATAGGGCACACATGGTGTCCCAGGATGGTTTTTTTTCACTTTTCTCTGGAAGCTCTTCTATATGATGCCATTAAATATTCTTTGGGCTGTAGGAAAAGCCAAGACAGAAACTGCTACCACACTCCAGCAATAGAATGCTCACCTGAGATTTGGTGTGGAAGTTTCTTCATGCCCTATCTCATCTGCATGATGTGGTAAAAGATGGGCTGAATGAACCCTGCTTGCCTGGTGAGGTGTCTGATCCCTTCAGAGGAGCAGGCTTGACATCTCTCCTGGGCAGCTCCCTTCAGGTAACATAGTTAACTCCACATGAGACTGCAAAAACTCCTCTTTTGCTTGTGTTTTGACAAGGTTGGTGCAACTGCTTTCTATGTCCCTGTGTGTGAGACCCTCTCCACCAGGGCTGATGTCACAGGAGGTGCCAGCTCTCTGTCTGACAGGTTATAGGGCAAGTGCCAAATCGCTTGGGCTTGTCAAGGCTGAACAGGCAATTGGATGTGACCAAAGTGAAAATATGTTGGTGTCTGGGGAAAGCCATTGTCTTGCTCAGACCTGGACATAGCCAGAGTGCAGCAAAAGCTCTCAGAATGGCAATTTTGGACTGGAGTTAAATGTAGGTGCTACATGTGCCTCTCTCCCTTTTTCCTTTCCTGACAGTCACCAAGTCTTTTTCCTGGATGTAGCCTTTGGCCTTTCATGATTATTTTCTCTTGCTCTCTGCTAGGCTGGTGTGTCTGTTTAGGGAAGTGTGCTCCTGTGCACTACCATGTGTGCTGCTGTAAGGAAAATACTGGATAACGGTTGCATATATTTTACTCTGATGTACTGTGCATATAGGACCATTCAAAAACTGAAGTTCGAAGTGCTGAGGCTTCCCTTCCTACGTATATCAGTGATCCTAAATAAGTAATGAAACAAATGTAGTTAAGATGCAAATGTAAAATATCTTCTTTTCAGCTTGGCTTGCATGAAGCTGTTAATTTCCATTACCATTAATGAGAAATTACACCCAAAGGTTTTCCCCAGGCAGGAGTTCTGATCCTCCTTAACGATTTCCCTTTTGCAGTATCTTTCAATCCAGGATATTTGTATTTTGCAAACTTAATTAAGAATTAATTAGCAATATCCCTGGAAGGAACAGGAAATGGCATTTTCTCCATTTACCTGTGACTGAATGGAGGTTGCTCAGTGGGATGTGGGACTCCTGGCTCTGAAACTGAAGTTACTTGTGCCACTGTCTTCAGCTTACTGGGGACTTTCACAGGGTTGTGTCCAACTTGAATCCATATTTATAATTTAATCTGCTTTGATACTTGTGTACTAAGTTTGTGTATGAGAAAGCTGTCCTTTGTAGCCAAGCCTTACTTGTGGTTGTAAAAGAATCTCACTTGCACACAGCAGTTCTCTTGTTATGATTGATGTTTCTGTTCAAAATGCAACAGATCTGTTAAGACTTTCATATCTGCATTTGTAGAAAAAGCAGACAATTTTAATGCTTTTCTGCACAAACAAATTACATTTTGTCTGTAAACTTTGACTGACACTATGCAACAGTACACTGGGATGTCTACCCTGTGATTTCCTACTGGATAGTCTCTCTGTATGCGCAGCCTTAGTGTTGTGCATAGTGGCTAGCTAATTTCTACATATTAATTTTATGTCATATATATTCCTATTGCTGAGTTAGATTTGTAACCCAAATTCACAAATGATGGGGGAGTATGTTCTTCTTTGCAATTATGATTACACCAGTGGTGTAACTAATAGGAGAACAGCAAGCTGAGAAATTACACCCTTCTGCTTGTGGCTGGGAGCGGAGCTTGGGAACAGAGATGATAGGAAACAGAAAAACTGAGAAAGAGGGGGAGAGGATCAAAATACTGAAAACAGGCAAGGAGACAACAGAGATGAGAGACAGTACATTGGAACAAGAAAGTGATTACAGCACATGGGAAAGGCTGGGAAAGCTGCTTGCAATAAAGATAAATAAAATAATGAAGAAACACATCAGGAAAAGCATCCCTTTTTCCTCAAAGGGAAAGATATCGTGGACAGGGGCTAGCAGAGTCAAGCACATCTCTATGGCCCACATGGAGGAAGCTGATTGTGCGAGTGTTCTGTGAGTAGGTTCCCTACAGG